AATTATGTGATGAAGAGTACCCAAACATATGAGCTTTTCATACGGGGCAAGATAATACAATATTAGACATCCTGTAATTAAGTGCTGTCAATTTGTGTCTTAAGCAGACCATCAAGGTCATTTGATGTATTAAAAACATGGGTGACTTGCACATTTGTGTGACCTTAACATTCTTCTCTTCCCAAGTGGTACTGGGCTTGTAATTGGTTAGCAGTCTGTGGTTGAAATTACAATTTTTACTTTAATTTAAAATTGTGATTGGTATTTTACCTTATGTCATTTCGGAACATTGATGTACAATAGGTAAGTTTAAAAATATCCCCAAGAATGCAGATCCAGGAAATGTTATGTAGAAAATAAATTAAGAAAAAAGAAGCATGCAAAGGACAGAAGCAAACATAAGTGAACAAATAAACAAAATCTTTATTCACAATGAAAAATGTGACACTCAGTATTTCACTTACTGGTCAGTCCTTTTATATCTGCTGTGACTTTTAACTGGCTGCTAAGATAAAGAAAAGCTTTCCAAAAATGTCCACACAGAACAAAGAGAAGAGAAATTCTGATTTACTGCCCAATTTCAGTCAAAAACTTTAAAAGTGTGGTATACCAGAATCCAGTGTTGCAGATATATATATATCACAACTATTCCAAATAACACTTACAGGTGAGAAAACCCTCTAAATTCATACCAATTTGTACAAGTATCTCTGTACCTCCACCCCAAGACGAGCTTGCTCACATTAGGGAGCGGACACAGACAGATACAAGCTGGAGGTAGCAATAGGGGGGATCTTCTGATTGGAGCTGAAGCTACTCCAAAATGTGTTTTAGCCTTTCCTGTAGCTCTTACACTCAGTGAAAAGTGCTTAATGGATACTACAGTATGTGTGCAAACATTGTAGTGTAAACATAATGCACAGTGCAGGCCTCAGCCCTCTCACCACAAAAAAGCTGATACTGTCCCTGAATACAGGGCTAGAGTAATAGAAGCTACTAAAAGAATTAGCACAAATTTACTCCCTTTCAACATTTGGTTAACAAAGATGTGATAACTGTATGTGGAATACCTATGAAAAATGTAGAAACTTATGACAACATACCTGACTAAAGATACATGGAAGGGGAAACGAATGACTATTTCAGTCAATACAACTTCATAAAACATCCATTTTCTATAATACATGAGCAAGGTTTAGTATTGCTACCCTACCTTTTCTTTGTTTCATACTGGAAAAAAGAGGAAATACTCACTGAAACCTTACATGAGGGCTCACGTGGGTCACACTTTTCAGAAGAATCTTAAAATCATTCAAAGAATTATTATTAAGAGTTATTCTTTGTAGGTTGTTGGAAATGTTTTTTAGATCTAGAATGTTGAAAATTATATTATGTGCTAAACTTCATACAGATAATTGAATCAGACTTGTTTTACCATTTCATTTTTGTATTTGTTCCAGCAACAAGATATAAACAGTAAGTAGCCTTGATCCTTTTGAAAATGTTGCTGAGGTAAGGATGCAGATATTATACTATTTAACTTGTATTAATTTCAAATTTAAACAATATTACTTGATAAGTTTATTTCACTCACTGAAAAATGTTAAAAGAAAATTTGAATTTCATAATTTTTGGTAGGATTACATTCAAATCACATTATTTCCTTGCAATAAATTCATTGTTTTTTTAAAACAAAAACATTTTATGTTAGTTTTTTATATGTGAAATACTCTTATATTTTGCAGGAAATTCAAGATATTTCAGCTCAGTGAATTAGATTTACAAATTTCTTTTTCAAGGACAACTGGAAAAAACTATCAGTTATAGAAAATGATGTTGATGCAAGTTGAAATGAAAATGCTTTTTGCTTGCAGATAATGTTGCAGTCTATAAATGTTAAGAAATTATAAGTCTGTAGGAGTTAATAGCATGTAATTGCGAAACCGCTATCTAACAAACTGAATGTCTAAACATTATGGTTTGTTTCTTATTCATTTTATAAACTTTATCACATGCTGAGATAGTATAGTTTTTATTTGATTTCTATAGAATAACAGATATCTCTCTTGCTGCATTTTGAATAGCTGAATACCAGATTGGATTATTGTTTCAGAAAAAACTAATTTTTGTTATCGACACTTCCCACCAATTAGTGGATTAATAACATAGAAAAGGTTCTTCAGAATTTTTTGGTGTATATTATTTTGTATGTGTGTTTTTGTAATGTTTATATCAATAGCATTCATTATATGGTGATTTTTTGTAATGCAAAGATATTTACAGAATTGAGAAAAAACAAGACAATTGTATGTTTCACAAATACTTAATTTATTAATGATTATGGTTTCTGGTGAATTATGGATTTTCCCCTAGTACCAAAGTTTTCAAGTATCACTTATACAAAGATATTTAATGAAATCTGCTATGTACTTAATTTATAAAAACTCCATGAGTTTTCATTATAATTATGTTGAAAAAAACATTTAATGCATTTTGTTCAGGACTGAAATAAATTTTGTGATTGAAATCCTTCAAAATGCAGACTGAAGGAGCTTACATAAAATATACATAACAGAAAAATCATCTATGAAGAATTGGAGGCTCAACCAAAGAAACCAGTCCATAGTGTTAATTTATAGTAATTGATTTCCACAACTTAACCACTACGTGATGCTATTTTGCAGCACAGAATTTTACTTGTGATTATATCCTGTTTCAAATAATAAACTCTTCTTAAATTATTGAAAGATATGTGAAGCAAAAAAAAGTAAATCCTTGAATTTGAAAACTGAGGAGTCAATATAAAAAGAATTGTACGTTTCATGTTTAAAAGAAAAGAGAGAGAAAGAGAGAAAACGTGGTATCACCTAACTTGGAGTCACTTCATTCACTTTATGCCTTTTCCGTGGGTGTTGTATAAATAAATATATATATATGTGAAATATGCTTATTAATATAGATATAAAACTTTTTAGACTACTACTTTCAGATATATTTTTAAAACTTACAGTTTTTAATGGGAAAAAATTGCAACATGTTGTATATCCGATCAGCAATTTTATTACATAAAAAAACATATATGTATGTAATTATTAGATGTTTCAGTTTGAAAAAATAAAAACGCAAATTGTACAAATGTTATTTATACCCAATAGATGGCGAAACTGTACCTAACACGTGCTAGTTTTAAATTAATTTCGTTATGATTTATTTAGATAACTTACTTATGATGGGATGTTCTATATAACAGTTATATTTCCAAGAGCATTCCGATTTATTAGTGATATTGTTGCAGGTGTCTGAAGAAGAAAAACAAAACTCCAGTATTCTAAATATTAAATATAATTTTGTTTAGTATTAAACTGAAAAAACAAACAAAAAACTTTTTTTTTTCCAAATCCTAACATGAGGGAAAATTCTTTTTCCAGATACATAGTTTTAAGTAGGGCTTGTAATAATTAAGTTAAGGAAGAATTTTTATGTTATTCTGCTTTTGGTATATAATGAACAACTATTGTTAAAGGAATATTATTCAATTGAAAGTAGTTCATGATTTTTGTTTAACAGCTGCCGCCACCATGAAGTTACTCAACATTCATACGTGTAAGAAATTACTCTGAACTTCAGATTTTGTATACAGTTTGTGCGCGTCAACACAAATTTATTTCTATCGTCCAATCAGAAAATGAATGCAACTTTTTATCGGTGGACAGCATATACTGTATTTTCCGGTAATATGGTACATTTATAGGCGTTACGAATCGTGCCATCAAGTTACTAGGTGTTTAGAACAGTCTTTTTCCTTTGTAGTTGTAATTAGACGGATATTTAAGAATGATTAAAGTAGAATAACTACGCTTCACGCCGCAATAACTTAAGCTATGCCACTTCGAGAACGAAACCATGATTAAGTTTCTTAATAGCTGTTAAATGTATATTTGCTATTAAGCGCAAAGGTATCGAAACCTAATTTCTAACATTATAAGCTCTCATACTTACCGCTGTGCCAAAACACTCTTCCAATAATAATAAATATCTAAGCAGCTGATGCTCTTTTATTCGCAAGAATGTGTCTAGCAATTAGCAGGTCTGTTGAGGAGTCAATCAGTAGTAACACATCACTACTTGTACTGTCGTAAGGCAGTAGTATTGGGCTTATTGTGATTTTAAACATTACTTTCTTTATTTTGTCCATTGGATATTTTCCGAGAAGAAAATGTATAATATTGCATCTCAACCACACTATGTCCGCCATACATTGCCGACAAAGCGTTTCGCTCAATACCAGAGCTCACCAACCCGGCTGTATTACAACAAACACACTAGTGGTCAGAACAATTGTATTATCGTATTGATTTATCTCTTGTAACTCGTGTGTTACTATAGTGTTTTAGTCGTTGAAAACATCGCTTTAACAAAAACCAGAAAGTTTATAGTTTTCATTTTGAGCTAGGCCTAGCATCACCCAGTATTGTTTTTGTTTTTCGTTGTTTTATTTTTTTACTATTAGAAATTACCAGCCCAGTTTAATATATTTGGCACTAAAACACTATTTTATTTTTAGAATTTTAATCTCTATTTTAAGGGAACGGGGAACTCAAACGGCTCCCGTTAATGTTTAAACTCCTTATTATAAAATATTATAAAAACACGTACAGTTAAAACTTCTTGGAACAGATTAAATTTGAATCACTATTCCCAAACACAAACAATATTAATAACAAACAAAAATGAACAGTCATATATAGATAGATGAAATATAACTTCTCACAGAGGTACGTCATAAGCAATCTGGTTTCTGTTTTTCATTTATGAACTGTAATAGTGAAACAATACCACGCTTGTAATGAGGCATGGTGTGCTAGATGTGTGAGTAAATTTATTGCTACCGATCTTACATGTACTTTCAGAATGGTTCAATGAATACTATGACGTCACGATATCGTGAGGCTGCATGTTGAATATGTACCGTAATTTCCCATCAGACGGTAGGGTTCGCTTTGAGTTTGACGAAATGGCTTGTGGGTTTATGTTTTTGTAGCAAATGAAAAATGTTTCAGTAGTTCTTCGTTTAATTTGTAAAGTTTACGAGTATTCTGTTATTTTTCATGATTTTTTAACAAGTTGGATGAATAATACGACTTTTGAATGTGAATATAGACTGTAATTTGTGTGTCCACCTCAGGTTTATGTGATTACTCCAGTCGCTTCTCATGCTATTCGCTCAGTAGGTAAGTAGACTACTCCCTGTACTACTACTAATGTACAGTATATTTTGAAAATAATTTAAAAAAATAAAAACAGTTGACGCCTAATGTGGGATTAATGAGTTCGAAGTATATTTTAGTTGTCTTCATAAAGTACTTAACAAATAATGAATTATATTAAGCGACATGTCTGTAATTTCTTACCATATAATTTTAATTCTGCTGAAACAGTGGTAGCGATAATCATAAGACTACTACTACTAGCAACAGTAACACTAACAATTAACATAGTTAGACCTAAGCCACAAAGCTACAGCTGTGTGAAACTGTATTTGTTAAATTAATTCATAAGTGAAGTTCTGTAAAATGCATAATATTAATTTAAGTTTAAGATCATTTTATAAGCATTAATTTGTCAAAGGGCATAAGGGTTGTAACTTGTATCACTATCAGAAGTAAAGGGCCAAGTGTTATTAAATACAAAATAAATTTTTTCTTTGCCTGTAAAAAGTGTCCATTTACACTTTTACTGCTTTTTTTTGTAATTTTTGAATTAAAATTAATATTGAATAAATCTACTATATTATATGTAGATGTGTAGTATATGAAAATTCACTATTAAAAGTATACACAGAAATTACAGACATTAATGGATATTTTTCTCAGGATATGTTTATTGGCCTCATTTTCAATTCAAAGTGATTGAAATAATCTCCATGGAGACTTGAGTTTTTTTTCCAATTCCTAAAGAGTAACACCCAAAAAAATATTTTCAAGTTGTTTTATTCTTTGTGACTTTGTATTATGATAACCAATAATTTTTACCTATTTTGTTCCTTCTAAGGACAAAACTTGATTTAATTCCAAAAAACAAACCCAAAACTTGTGTAGTTTATGTCCCAAATATATATTATTATTCATCAGAGGAAATACAGTATATTTAAATATTACCTTAAACTGTTGGTTTAAAGGAGTCCGAAATTCTAACTTTTGAGCTTTTTTCTTTATGAATTACAGTGAAAAAGCATACAAGTCATTAACCTAACATCTTATCTGATGATGAGGATAATGCTGTTCACCATGCAGTTACTTTATCATTGAAAATTTATGACATATGTCCTAGAAGGAGAGAGAGATTAATGTATATTTAGTATTACTACATATCAGATGAAGTAGTGTTCATGTATCTCAAGTTTCTTTTGTCCTTAGTACTTTTTACTTTCATGTTTCAATTATATGTTTTATATAAAATTAGAAAAAAAAATTCTGACTGCAATTGTGCATTATTAATCATGATTCATGTTTAGGTAATTAGAAGGGCTCTTTCATTTTTTTCAAAAAATTCATTATAAATCCCTGTATCAATTGTGTTTTAGGAGCTCAAGTGAAATTATCTTGCTCATTATTTATCTTTCAAAATGTTTCTACATACCCATTTCATAGATTAGAGGTGGTAAGCAGATTGACCATATTCACAACAGCTGCTCTGTTTTTCCCCTGCAATTCTATACTTAATTCAAGGCTATAGACACATGGCAGGGATTCATTATTATTACAATGTTGGAGTGTATTTAAATTTTCTCTTCTTTTCTTTTTTTCTCTCAAAGTTTTAATCTCTTCATTAAAAGAGATTTATTATATATCAACTTAAATATTTCACATATTCATTTGCAATTAAAAGTTCTATTCAGTTGTGCTATCAACTAACAAGCAATATTCATACCGTTCAATATTGAAAGATTTACTTAGGCATGACTCGTGGTATTTTAAGCTGTATATGTATACGCTTTTTAGTATATTATTATTATTGGAATAATGGAAGTTAAGAACAAAATATTGAATAGGTATCACCCACAATATGATGCATTTTTTAAAGATGTTTTTATTCTTTCAGGCTTTCTCAAGGATCTTCCTATTTTCTGTGTTAAGAAGATTTATGGAAACATTTGGTCTATAAACAAACAGCTGGAAAGTGTCAAGTTACTAGGGAGCTTGCAATAGGAATTGTCATTATCATGTCAGATTCTAATGCACCTGATCAGCATGATGAATCAGATGAAGAGAGAGAGGTAGATCTTAAGCATTTTGAAATTACCAATGACACAGATTTTGAGACAAAGGATAAGGATGGCAATGTAGAAGCCTCTTCCAGTCAGTTAGAACAGCAACTGAGTGTCAGGAGGAAACTTCGAACCCTAACGTTCGGAAGACGCAGAAAAGGGTTAGCCAAGGATCCAGCTAAAAAACTAAAAGGATCATGGGTATTAAGATTTGGAACATGTTCCAAAAGACCTTCAAACTCTGATATTGCTGAACCAACAGTAGGCTGCAGTGCTTGTATTTGTACTGGCTATCGTAAAACAGAAGATCACCATCTTGGAGCAAGATTCGTTTTTAAAGGTTCTCCTCCAAATCGAAGAGGCGTATCACCCAAACGAGTGGCAGTTTTCAAAGCTGGGAGTGAAAGGACTAATTCTAACTCTCCTGTAATTGATTTGACAAAATTCAATCCAGAGAAATATCCTATCGATGACTGGGATGAACGTGCTCGACAGGAACGTGCTCGAGAAATTCAAGAGGGAGTAGACCCACCTCCTGGCTATCAGACTGCTCTTACTGGTCAAGTTACTGAGGTGAAACTGAGTGATTTAACTCAGGCACTTCAAAATCAACTCCACATTTCTCCATATCCTTACCTAGAGAGGTTTACTGAGGCAACTGGAATGTCAAAAGAAATGTTAACCAAATTTTATGAGGTATCGGCCAAAGGGTTTTCTCTCCCACATTCTCAGGTTGACTACATGCACTGTCTAGTTCCAGATTTATTAGAAATCACAAATTGTAGCTTTTATTGGGGTAAAATGGACCGGTACCAAGCTGAAAAACTGTTGGAGAACAAACCAGAAGGTACATTCTTGTTACGAGATAGTGCTCAAGAAGAATATCTCTTTTCTGTAAGTTTTAGACGTTATGGAAGATCTCTCCATGCACGGATTGAACAGTGGAATCACAAGTTTAGCTTTGATTCTCATGACCCTACTGTTTTTGCTTCCACTACTGTGTGTGGTCTAATTGAACATTACAAAGACCCAAGTTGTTGTATGTTCTTTGAACCAATGTTGACCATACCTCTTCATCGAACTTTTCCATTTACACTTCAGCATCTCTGTCGTGCTGTGATTTCTAGGAGAGTAACCTATGACACTATTAATAGATTGCAATTACCAAAAAGTTTGAAAGCCTATTTAAAAGAATACCATTACAAGCAGAGAGTACGAGTTCATCGTCTTGATTTAGAACACTAATATTGATACACACTGTGCAGAGTTAGTGTTGTTAACAGTAAACTTCATTATACCAGTAGTATATAATATATTTAACTGGTACAGTTTATCCTTAAACAAGGAAGACCTGGCTTTTTTAAAGCCCTTGTAAGTAATTGGGTTTCTTAAGATATGATTTATCCTATTCATAATTCTGCATATTTTTAAAGTGTTATGGAATTAACTTAATATTTCTAAATTTCTTGCTTTTGAATATATATGTATATATTTAAAAAAAAATGTTTATCAAAAATATCCTAAAGATTAATTAAGATATAATACTGAAAATGGTGATTCTATTGTATATCATAGCAGGGAAGTGTTAGGAATATACATATTTTGATGATTATTTATGTTTAAAAAACTTTAAATTTATTGATATAAAACTATTTTTGAGTCTATATTTATACTGTTTGCATATGACATGAATATTTTAATATCTAAAATCCATTGCATAAATACAGTTTTATAGTTTCAAAAACATTTTAGCTTCATCTGGGTTAAGCTAATTTAAGTACAACATTAAAACCAGTGATAAAATAATCTGACATTTAAATCATGATAAAGTGCAAGTTGTCTGAGGTACAAAAAGCTGGAAGTGTACAAGATCACATTTTTGAAAAGTAACAAGTATATAGTGATTAAAACGAATACAATAACCCAGTGTTTATCTAAACAATATTATCTCTTGCTATAGTATAGGTTACAGAAATAGTTTACAGCTACTTAGGATTGAACATCAGTCCTGCTTAGCCAAGCTTGCAACTGGTAATACTGATATATATATGGATGTTTAAAATTATATCATTTAATTATTCCCATAGTTTGGAAGTTTTCAGAAATAGAAATTATGGTATGCATTTGTTCATCATTCTGTTTTTACGTACATAGATCTATTTGATAATTTGTTCTATTAGTTTTATTATATCAAGTTGTTAACATTGTTAAATTGTAATTACATACTATGAAAGCTTAGATATGTGTTTATAAACAATAATTTCTCTCTTAAAAGTTTTATAAATAACCTAATTTAATTCATAGTACTTAATATGCAGGTGTATTCCAAGGTTTTTGTTTTTTTTTCTTGAGGAGGGGGTTATTTATGGCGAAATCAAATGTTTGAATCGGAAAATTAGATTAACTGTTTTGAAAGCATTATCTGTTAACAGGTAAAATATTAAGTTCAATAAATTTCCGAAAATAAAAGTGATCGTTTAAAATCATGGTCTAAATGATATTATTTATAACTTTTCTGTACTAAATGTCTGTGCAAAATAGAATTGAAATTGCTAATTAATATCTTTCAGCTCATAATATGTTTTAGTCTCCAGTTAAAGTTTTAAATAAAACATCCAAGAACTATGACTACATTGATTAATCATGCCGATGAATAGTTTGGATTTTTATATCTGAATTACTGGCATAGGAACACTTTTGATTTTATTTCATATTTTCAGTTTATTTTGGTATTTTACTTGTAAGATATACATACCAGAAAAGTTAATGCAAGACCTAATAACCAGTGTACAATAATTTTGACTGTATATGAAGCTATGCCTGTTGCAGTACTTGTGTCTCAAATATATCATTCATCAGATGGAATAAGGTACATTTAAACATTACCTCAAATGGTAGGTTTTAAGAAATTCAAATTCTGGCTTTTTTATATTTATCTTACCTTGCGAGGTACAGTAAAAAAGCATACAAATCATTAACCTCCCACTTATCTGATCATGAGGATAATGCTGTTCACCATGCAGTTACTTTATCACTGAAAATTTATGACCTATGTCCTAGAAGGAGAGAGATTAATGTATATTTAGTATTACTGCATATCGGGTGTTTCAATTATTTGCTTTATATAAAAAGTAGAAAAAATATTCTGACCACAACTTCTACATTATTTTTCATGACTTGTGTCATTAACTTTTATACAGGCAGTTTTTACAAATGAAGGCTGGGTGTGGCCTAGTGGTTACTGTGTTGGGCTGTGAATCCAAGAGGCCATGGTTCTTGTCCCACCGGTGTAAATTTGTGCTGCTCCACACATTTGGGCTGTTGATGTATTATATGAGTTGACAGTGAGTGCTGTTGACTAGCTGCCTTCTCTCTAGTCGATCAGTCCAAAATTAGACAGCTGGCACAGAGAGCCTTTGTGTAGGTTTGTGCAAATAACCAAAACAAACACATTTTATGAATGGTGTTGGGTAATTAATATTGTGTGTTGTTTTTTAAATTTATTTTGGGTGAGAATTTGTAAACATATCATTAATACGTTTTTGTGTAATGTACCAAAGATAAGAAGTGTAAGTATTATCAGGTGGGTTTTTTCTCAGTTATTGTATGCTTTCCAAAATATATAAATGTGCATTAAGGTTGCATAACACCTAGTGTTTTCCAACAGTATCACATGCTTATTGATATTATCAGAAGTATATAGTGATTTTTATGTAGTCTGAGGCTGCTAAATGAAGATATGGCATTTTTAATATTGATATAAATACTTAGATACCTTTACCTCATTTCCTGTTAATGAGAAAAAAATTTTGCCATATGATTTAGTTTATAATTTTTTATTTTTTTTACACAGGCCAGTTTTCTCTTAATTTCCAGGTTCTTTAGTTTTGCAAAAGATGTGATGGTAGGAAAATGAGAAAAGTTAATTTTTGTATTCTTATTTTTTTATTCAACACTTGTTTTTGTTGAATTTTCAGAATTAAGGTTTGAAAAGTTTAGTTTAATAAAAGCAAAATAGTTATAGCTAGTAAAAGTTAGTATTTTCTACAGCATGAGTTTTAAAAGTAAGACATTTCTTTGATTGTTCATTTATTTTGGATGGTTTATGGTGATGAATTCAACAAAATAAATGTACAAGGATGGACGCCTTTGAACCTTTATCAATATTGAAATATGTCTCAGTTTTATAACCTTATTTTGTTGTGCATATTATACAAGAAAGAAGGTTCAGATAATTTTTTCCTGAATTCAACAGAAGAAAAAGGTATCGCTAATGATTTATACGGTGGTTGTATTGCTACTTAAACATTATTTTAATATTTCAGGGTCAACTGTAATATTGGCAACTGTGAACCAATGGTAAAAATTGTGTATCTTTAAATTTTGGTACTAAGAAATTTTTGTCGTTTTGTTATTAAGTAAGTTTTAGTATTTATTTGTCATCAAGTATTAACATTTTCTGTAACTGTTGTATTAAGAATCAGTGTAATTTTTTTCTTGTGTAAGTACATGTGCACATATAGCACCCCCCTCCCAAATATTGACAAATAAATATAATATTAAAAATACCAAACAAATGTATTTATCATGAGTCCTATATTAGTATTTAATCAAAACAAAATGACTAGAAGTAATGATACCTATTGTAAAAAAAAAACAGCTGTATCAACTATATTATTAGCTGAAGCTGCACACTGTGCGATATCTACTTGTTTAGGGCTACGGTTGTTCTGTTTTTCATAGTAAAAAAAAGTAGTTTTAGAATACAATGGATAAATTTAGAACTGATTGGTATACCTTGCAGTGTTCTGTATAAATCTTTGTAACCCCACCCCCGTTAAGATGACAAAAGTACACACATTAATACAAAAATAAAAAATCGTTGGACTTCCAAATATGTTTAGAAAATCAGTGAAAATAGTGACATCCACACATATTTGAAAAAATCATTGTTAACCTACGGTTAATGTTATGTTTTTCACTTTAATGTGACTGTATTTCAAGTAGACTGTTGGTATATAGCCAGCTAGCTGAAAGATAATGAAACTGTACAAATGTTTTCGTATTGAGACATTCTGTTTGAAAGATACCAGGTTATATTTAGATTAAAATTGTAGATGATTATTACGTTTACTGTAAGTGTTTTTTTGTTGTCGAACTTGCTAGCAGTACTACTGTATTAAGTCGTGTAGGACCGAAATATCTTTGTGTGCGTTATATATGTTTATGGGGGAAACTCAAAGTAAGTCCACGTTTTCGTACCTATTATCGGATAAATATAGTTGTTTTGGTTCGTATTAAAATTCCACGACCGTAACGTCATTGTTCTTATACTAAAAACAAGAGGTGAAATTAAATGTATTTTCATAGGTCTTAGAATTTTTTTTATCGTGATATTTTGTGGTAATTAAATTTTACCATTTTCATGGCTCGGGATCGAACGTGAAGCCTGTCGTATATCAAGCTAGTGCTCTCTACCAGTGAGCTACAGATAGAACCCTGCATGTATTTGCTAGTAAGGTAATTTTTTAGTAACTCAAACCACCACATGTTAGTTCATAAAAAAAAAAAAAGTTTGTAGCGAATTCGTCACTTTTGTAAGCAGGTGTTGTGTGTAATGTTTCCTCTCGCGATGTAGGACTTTTGATTATAAAAAAAAAATATTATATGACGGGCCTTACAAGGAGGATTTGTTTTTGTTCAATAACGCGGTAGAAATAACAAGTACGCCATTTTGATTACTGACTCACAAGTTTTATTATAAAATAGTCTATTAGTAATTTAGGTGTCTTGTTTAGTGACATTTACCATAAATAATAAAAAATATACAGAAGTTTTCAACGATTTTCATGTTAAAATAACGTTCATAAACGCGCGTGATTGCTGTAGTGTTTGTAGTTTCAAAATCTTGCATATTTCTTCCATACTGTGAATAAAGTCACGACCTATATCTCCAGAATGTAACTTTATTAGCTCAATATCTTTCTATTACAGCTTCATCAGGAGCTATCGACATCATCCAAGTTCACTAATCCAGTTAAATCTGTATTTGCGAAATATTGAGCTAATGAAGTTATATTCTGGAAATATAGGTCGTGATTTTATTTACGTTTATAGAAATGTCTCATAATAAACTCCAGTTTGCGTTAAACAAAGTTAAGAATAATAACTTCTAGCTTGTGTTGCAAGATTGGCGTGATTCCAACTGGAACTTGGTGTTACATGCTAAATCCATAAAAAATACATTATTTGTTCAGGTTCATCTCAACGTTTATCGGTACGAGATGCTTTTTAGCTGTAATCAAACTTTATTATTATTTAATTTTAATGTTACGTAGCAACAGTAACTTTTTTCATGAATCATTGAACGTTATTGACAACGAAGAACATGTTTTTCGTTAAGTGTACCTGGCACAACGTAAAGGCAGAATTTCAAAAGTAGGACACGTCTGATTAACCTATTATTTGACTAACCTGACACGTATTACACCTAAAATGCGAATCGTGCAATTTCGATGGTGGGTAGAACTCTTTTTTTTTTTTTTACAAGTGTATTACCATACATAATACCGTGAAATAGATAAACTTCTCACTGAATTAGTTTTATTCTTTTTTCTATAGGAACTTTTACAGTTTATAACTTCCCAGTGGCTGACTCAGCGGTAAGTCTGAAGGCTTACAAATAAACACCGAGTTTCAATACCCGTGGTGGGCATAGCACTGACAGCTCATTGTGCAGCTTTACGCTTAACAAGAAAACAGACAATTTATCTGATAATTTTATTCATTGCTTCTTGCAAGTCATAAATAGATTCAACTGCCTTTTAAAATCGACTGAAAAAAATGAGTCCAACTAGACGCTTAAGACCAATTTTTCCAATGAGAGTTAATTATATATAAATATATTTATGTTTATGAAAGGAGTTGCTATAGAATGGTCAACAGTATTTCTGTGGTAGCAGTAGTGATTTTAATAATTTTCCTCAATATTGAAGCATATGGCAGTCCATCAATAATAATATAATAAATTGCATACCGAGAACTATGTTTTGAGTTCTGTCGTTTCTTTATGATAATTACATTTGATAAACAATACTCTATTGTCATCAAGCTCCTCATTGAACTTATGTCAGAATTATTTGCAATTTGATGGATCATTTTAATTTCGTAAAATGAAATTTCTGACAAGTTTTTAAATTATATCCATTGATATTATTGCTGCAAATAGAATAAATACAACAGGTGATGTTTTTTTATACGAGGTTTTACGTTTGAATTTTTACAGTTTCACGGTATAGCATGGCCCACAGAGGATTAAAGATAGTAAGGGGGAAATTTTCTCTGACCAACAATTTCCCGATTTATTTGTACGTGTAATCACCCAAAACATCAATCGTGTGAATAAAGAAGAAAAAAGCTATTAAATTTGGATTAAACGAATTTATATTTTTCAGTTCAGCCGTGGGGGTGTTATACAGTAACGTTCAATCCCAGTGTTCGTTGGTAAAAAGAGTAGGCAGCAATGGTGTTGATTAGTTATTTTTCCCATCAGTTCATCACTTAAGAATTGTGGACGGCTAGCGCAGATAGCTCCTGGGTAGGTTTGCGCAAAATTCAAAACAAACAGTTTGTGAGTGCTTATCTCAGATGGAAACTCAGTATTCCTGTTGGCTCATTAATTGTACAGTGATACTACTAGTGGAAAAACTACGACGTTTATACAATTATATCAGACAATTATTTCAGTAACGTAAACAAATGCGCAAAAAACACATTAAATTCTTTATATTTGCGTTCCTTATAAATAACGCAATACTATTACAATACAAATACCAACAGGCGCATAAAAATTGACAATTAGGCCTAAAGTTTAAATACGCTTCGTACACGAAGCGCGATATAATCTAGAGCAAATAGCTTTAATAGTCACTGCCATAACGACATTCATTTTGGAGGTTCTTAACACAATTCGCGAAATAAGAATTACAGATTTCGGATGATATAAAAGTGCGATTTAGACACATAAGAAATTTACAAAAACCAACAAAAAAAAATAACTGTTGATTTGTACACTTATTAATACCATCATTTTAAAAATTCACTATTTTATAACTATTATATGTTTCTACCTATATCAATACAAGCCCATAAGAACTGAAAATTAGGCCTAAAGTTTAAATAAGCTTCGTTCGCAAAGAACGAGTTTACCCGCTAGGGGAATAAAATATTACACCATTTCCGTTATTGGTGGTAGTGGATCCGGGAGAGTAATAAAAGTTTTATGGAAGGAAAAAAGAAAAATAAGTGAAATAGCGACAAACAAAGACAGTTTATTTTTACTTTTCTTAATACCATAATTTTAAAAAAGTCACTATTTTATAACGTTGCTTTATCAAGAGTTCGATCAAGAAAAATCTCAAGATCTTGGTTAAAGATGGCGATTATCCAGAAATACAAAAGATGTTTTCTATAGAGATATATTTCCTTTAAAATCATTCAACGTTTTTAAACTTCTTTATTTTAAAACTAAATACAAATCCCTATTCTGCTTAGTAGGTTTTTGTTTCATTCATGTCCAACTATATAATGCAACAACATCATTATTTAAAGGATGTATCTATCTACAACATATATCCTTCTCACATATATATAGTATTCCACTTAATAATGCTTCATGTGTGAAAAAATCAATGGGCTTTGACTCGTATGTTACAGAACACGCTTCGTATGCGGGAGGTCAAGGATACAATCTCGTCTATGTACATTTTGTTTAATTGTTTTTACTTTTTTTCAGTAATCAGATAATTTTAGTGCATACAACGTATTATATAATAAAATACATCATAATTATTGAATTGTAATTTGCAGGGGTATAATTGCGACGTACACATAAAAACTACAATTAAGTTTAAATTTTGCATGAATATTTATTTTAACATAATTTATTCGTTATAGATGTCTCGTTATAAAGAAAGTGCAATTTTACGTTTACATATATAAATAAACATATATATATATATATGTATAAAATACATGGAAGATTTTGATAGCTAGCTAATATTACATTGCAAACAAGAATTTTTCTCAATCCATTAACGATTAGTTAGGAATCTAAACTGACAATGTATTTAAGTGTTAAAACATGTGTTAACTTTGACTGGCCCTTGTAGTCGAATCCTATTTTTTTTACAAATGTCTGTCAGTAGCACAGCGGTATGTCTGCGGACTTACAACGCTAGAATCCGGGTTTCAATACCAGTGGTGGGCAGAGCACAGATAGCCCAATGTGTAGCTTTGTGCTTAACTTCAAACAAACAAACAGACGTGTGATATAAATACATGAATAGTCTTGTGCACGTTGTTACATATTTTTAACTCCGTGCAATGGGTAGCATTAAATATCTTTTATATCCAGAATCACAATTATTCATTGAGCTATCATGTTTTATTTTCAAATTCATAGTTAAGTTTTTACTCGTGTTAAAGTGTCAAAAATAAATCACTGAGATATGAAAGACACGTATATGTGGTTGTTTGTTCCTATTTTATGTTTTATAATTATTGGT